TCTGTCTGTGTCTGTGTCTGTCTCTCTGTCTGGTTGTGTCTCTGTATGTCTGTGTCCGTGTCCGTGTCTGTGTCTGTGTCTGTGTCTGTCTGTGTCCGTGTCTCCGTATGTCTGTGTCTGTGTCTGTTTGTGTATGTCTGTGTACCATTTGTGTGTGTATGTCTGTGTACCATTTGTGTGTGTATGTCTGTGTATGTCTATGTGTGTATGTCTGTGTATGTTTGTGTATGTCTGTGTATGTTTGTGTATGTCTGTGTATGTCTGTTTATGTCTGTTTATGTCTATGTATGTCTGTGTATGTGTATGTCTGTGTGTGTATGTCTGTGTATGTCTGTGTGTGTATGTCTGTGTATGTATATGTGTGTATGTCCGTGTATGTCTGCGTATGTCTGCGTGTGTATGTCTCTGTGTGTATATCTCTGTGTGTATGTCTGTGTATGTCTGTGTATGTCTACGTATGTCTACGTATGTCTGTGTATGTCTGTGTATGTGTGTGTATGTTTGTGTATGTCCGTGTATGTCTGTGTATATCCGTCGATGTCTGTGTATATCCGTCTATGTCTGTGTATCCGTCTGTGTTTGTGAATGTGTCTGTAGGTGTCTCTGTATGTCTGTGTCCGTGTCTGTGTATGTCTGTGCATGTCTGTGTATGTCTGTGTGTGTATCCGTCTATGTCTGTGTATCCGTCTGTGTCTGCATCTGTGTCACCATCTGTCTCCGTATGTATGTGTCCGTGTCTGTCTCTGTTTTTGTCTCTATGTCTGTTTGTGTCTCCGTATGTCTGTGTCCGTGTCTGTCTGTGTCTGTGTCTGTCTGTGTCTGTATCTGTCTGTGTGTCCGCGTCTGTCGGTGTATCCGTGTGCGTCTCTGTCCGCATACGAGGGTTGGCTACTGGGTGCCATAATTTCTTCGATTCAATGACATCGAAACGAATCCGGCACGCAGTAGTCAACTTGGACATGTCCGTGTCTGTGTGTGTGTGTGCCTGTTTGTGTGTCCGTGTCTTTGTCTGTGTCCCTCTCTGTGTCTGTGTGTGTCTGTGTCCGTGTCTGTCTGTCTCTGTGTGTCTGTGTCTCCGTGTATGTGTCTGTTCCTGTCTGCGTACGTCTGTGTCTTGGGAGTGCATGTCTGTGTATATCCGTGTATATGTATGTCCGTATGTCCGTGTCTGTGTATGTCCGTGTGTCCACCTGTGTCAAACGGACACACGGACATACACAGACACGGACATACACGGACATACACAGACGTACACTGATATACACAGACATACGCAGACAGAAACAGACATAGACAGGGGCACACAGACACACAGACACAGTCAGACATGCAGGAAAGACACACACAGACGCACACAGACACAGACACGGACACAGTCAGGAAGTGTGTTTGTGTATGTCCGTGTGCCTCGACGTGCCCGTGTGTCACATTAAGTCACGGAATGTCACAAAGACGGGAAGTATGATAGTCACTTCCCTTCACCACCGCAGACGTCAAGAGTGTGCATGCTGTAGTCATAAAACGAAAACAAATAGAGGGAGAGCAGGACATGGGATAAAGGACGAAGAGAGTGCACATGTTGTAGGGAGAAGAAAACAAACAGAGGGAGAGCAGGCTTGAGTTTCAAGGTACACAGGCAACCATACTTTGTCGACGAATGCAACGACGTACACTGTAGATTGAATGCTTCAGAAGATGCAGATTTTGGTTTGATAATTCTGCTTCGGTGGTTCAACCGTGCAGCGCATATGACAACACAAACAAAYACAGGATTAGTGAACAATGTGTCATACACACGCCCACATACTAAACGACAGACACATACTCTCGGTCATTGATGTGTTATGCACATAATTGTCAGCTGCAATTTGCCAGCCCTCACTCACACATAATCTGTATATGTGTATGTCAGTGTATGTCACCATGCATTGTCACACATGTCGCAGTATCGCATTGTACACAGTGACATCACCACCATCACAGTGCACAAAACGAGAAGATTTCTGTGAACAAGTCCTCTCCATATATTGTCTCTGCTGTGTACCTCACAATTGCAGAAGTATTCACATCATTAGACGCAAGTGTGTTCACAGCACGCATCGTCAACCCCCTGAATGAGCACAAGTCTTCACACCATACACAAGGATAAAGAAGAAGAGAACACAGTTCTGGCCTGCCATATATTTCCAAATCATGATAACAAAGAGTGTTCAAGTCCCCTGACCTCAAGCGCTTAGCAGCGCAGCACAAACTCCCGTCGAACTCACCGAASTGGCGACTCCACATCAGCGCCACCTCAACAGCATACACACAAGCGGTGAACAAAGCATACAATATCAGCCAGCACCTGATAAATAAATCAGACACCAGCGCTACAAAAACAAGAGAGAGACAGACCAGCGGGACGACGAAACAGTCAAACACTCACAACACCAACAGTCTCTGACGTCGATGAAGCTCACACGATGAACTCTTTGAGAACAAGCAGCTATGGCTGCACCTCGCCAACTCCACCCTAAACTTGACGAAGGTCTGAGGCTTACCGCACGGTCTTCACTATCAGTCCTGTGATAGGCGAGACCGCTACTAGCCCCAGACTCATGCAGCACACAGGAGGACTGCCACTACTCAGCTCATGCAGCACACCGCACACAGCAGGTGACACACAGCACACACAACACACACCACACAACTCACAACACACAACACACAACACACAACACAGAACACACAACACACAGCAACTCATGCAACACACAGCACACACCACGCAGCAGCTCGTGCGGCACACAACACACACCGCACAGCATACAGCAGCTCAAATACCACACAGCACACGGCTCACAGCAGCTCATGCAGCACATAACAACTCTTGCAGGATCGCTAGTACGCAGCTCATGCAGCACACAACACAATAGCGGTTGTGTGTCGGGCCCAGACTCGTGCAGCAAACGTCGTGCACAGGAACTCACACCACGAAGTATGAATTGGGCAGAAAAATCCCCCAGCATGCATCTACACTTTACATACGCCTGCCCTAGTCTGCGCTACCACCTATACCAATGGCACCGACTCAACTTGCCCAGTTTTTGCCTGGACCTTACCCGGCTACGGTCTCATCCCACAAAATAGCGGTTGACACCGCTGACTTTCCGAATAGCCCGGGGCTGTCAATTCRACAGTGAGGTCGTATGCACAAGAGCGGTTGGTACTGGCCCAACAATATTCAGAATTGCATATGGGGCGTGCGGTCAGTCCCAACAAACTTAGTCAACGGTTAGGCCCACACACAAACAAAACAACGAATCTGCACTACTACAGTACAGCCCTTGTATCCCGCCGTAGGCCGCAGATAACAGCAAGTCAATGCAAGTCACGTGGCGCGGTCTCACTGCAGTCTTCACTGTGTTCTTATCTCGTGCTTTTCTTTGCTGCATTGCCTTTACGCGGGGCTCCTTTCCTCTTCGATGACGCCGCTGGAGTGTCACCGCCTTTGCGTGCTGCTGCTGTCTTCCCTGACAGCCCCTTCCCCGCCCGCGCATCTCTCTCCTCTTGCCTTGCAGCATTCATCTGCCGTAGCTTTTCTGCTCTCTTCTGCTCGTCGGTAATGCCTTAGTATCTGTATTCCCAGCGAGCCTTGGACAAGTTATCAACCAACCTCAGGTCCTTCAGCTGGATCGTCACCCTCTTGCAGTGGATAACAATGATGTTCGTTCTCTCGAAATGGTTGATGAGATATGCTTCCGCCGCTTCCATCAACGCACGTATGGCGCTCATCTGAAACCTCATAAACTCCCCCGGTGCGATATCTGTTTCGACGATCTCGCCCACTACCCTTATAAATGGCCTCAAAGCGATGCACAAGTTAGTAGATTGTTGGAGTTGCCGAATCTCTGCCAATGCTGCCATCCCCGGGCGGCGCCTGCGCTTAGGAGCTGGGGCAGCGGCTGCTTTGGGAGTCTCGCCTCTACGTGGGACAACTTTTTCTTTGCCTTTTGCTTTTGTGGGACTCCTGGGATGACGAGGCGGCCTGGACGTGCACTGCTTCTTCTTCTTCTYTGCCCTCCCTGTCACGTGCTCCACAGGGGTGTCACCGTCGTCGGGTTGTGCGTGAGAACATCCCCCATCATGTGTTTTTTTCGGGGCGTCGACATCAGAGGAGAAATGTGAAATGTCMTGCTGCTGCTGTGCTGTTTGTTGAGGGTTGATTGCAGCACGACCATCGTCATCACCCGTGTACTGAATATGTCGCAGCAGTCCATCCATGAACGTGAGCTGGAAATGGACACCCAGAGGGTCTCTCAATCTCATGTACATCTGTTCCCCATGCTCATATGTCATGAGACAGACGACAGGGACCCACCCGAGTAGTGATGTGCACCCGTATCTGCGTCGAATGCCCTCCAGCAACAAGTTATTCGTCGAGGGCCGTGGTTGGTCGGTGCACGCGTCTTCCACAATGAACCACATTGCCTGGTCATTGTGGTCGTCATATCCCATGCACACCATCTGCCGATCTTCCTCCCTTATCTTCTCCCAACAACGTTGAGCGTGTTCCTCCAGCAATCGCCGGTCCCTCACATGAGGATTGCAAACGGAAACACGTGTCACCACCACCAAGAACTGCCAATGCTCCACAACGCCAGCATGCATCCAACCCAAAGRCAGCCACTCACCGGATTGCATCCTTGCTGCCAGTGTCACTTTGCCATCAACAACTGTTGGATGCAAAGAACCAGGTACCCAGTTGATATGGTATCCGTACATGTCACGGGCCACATGCTGGTACAACTGCCCTTCTTGAAGCACATGCGCCGCAATGTTACTGGCTGCGACGACATCCTTCCGCATTGCTGTATGGTCCCATACGTCCATACAGATGCCATCAAATGTGGCTTCTTTCCCCATAACGTGGACGTATGTGATTCGCTTTTCACCAGTAAACACCTTCGCTTCAGCGAGGGCCAACTCGACAGGATTACCGAGTGGCGGGTCAGAAATGCGTGCATCGGGTGGCCTGCATCTCATCGCTTCCTTTTCCTCCGCAGTTGCTTCTCTGTCGAAATGACGGAACGAAAACATGCCATTCACATAATGAGCGCTCCACACATTGCCCATGATATCACGCACTTGCATCTTGACACGGCCATATCCAAATGGGACTGTAGATGGCACCCAACCCCATCGAGGATCCCTCCTTGCATCATCCTGGGTGACTGGCGTTCTCCTCCTGCCTTGCTGGCCACACAACTCCCACAGCCGACCGCAGTCAATGTTGTCATATAGGAAATCATTGACGCGCAACTCACCCTTTGCCTCTAGAACACGATACATGTCCAATGCGTGTCGGCAAGCATCTTGGGTCGTTGCCCCATCATTTAACCTCAACACTCTGTCATAGATAAATAACAGACATACGTTACACCATGTTTCATTCATCGGGGGAGGAAAAACAACCCACTCATCACCAACCTTGAAAGCAAAGCAATCCACATCTCCAACGATACCAGGCTGAACACGACCAGGCACCCAGTTCACATCGTACGGGTATCTATCTCCTGCCATTGTCTTTGTCACATTTGAATCTTTGACAATGCATCCACTGTGAGGACCCTCGCTGCCAACATCTTCGTCCTCTCTCTCTCCACCCACCTTCTCTGTGTGACCACTGTTCCCTCGTGCACCGCTTTCGTTGTCATCCACATTAGCCAGCATCTGCTCAGTTTCCATTTGAATAGTGACCAACACGTCATCACATGCTGCAGTGGTGCCCCCGCCGCTGGTGTGCTGATGAACTCTCGTTCTGTTGTCCTCGTATGAAGGGGAACGACCACTTAGAATGGCTACTGTTTCCATGACGTCGGTCTCTCCGTCATTGGCGGCTGTTGCAATGGCGGGTTTCATCTAAATATTTACAAAGCACGTGAGGTCGTGAGTCACAACATTGAGAAAAAATTTCCACAGGAGAGAGAGAGAGAAAGAGAGAGAGAGAGAGAGAGAGAGAGAGAGAGA